CACCCTCTCCTGCATTTTTAATCACTAATATATATTTTTTTAAAAACAAATCCAACAACTTCAAAGCAACTCTACAAATTAGGCCAAATTGGGGCTGTTGGTCAGTTGGGAGGAGGAGAAGAGAAAAAAACAAACTGTCCAGGACCGGGATCGAACCGCTCCAAAAATCATTGCACGACTTCAAACGCTATACACGCGCTGTCTATTCAGCCATCAGAACTTCCGAGAGAGAGGTGTAGATTTTAGAATAGACACTTCCATCTTTGGTGTCATGCGGTTGGCTATACTTAGATGTAGTCACGTGATCGGGGGGTATCCTGGTCTGACGTCAACAAGATGGGCGCCTTACCTAAAAATAGTTTGCGTCTTTCTACGTTTAATCACATCTTTCCCAAGGACACAACGTCGGGCCCGCGGCTCGAACCCCGACCCCGCAACCTCACGATTACGAGTCCGGTAGCCTAACCACAATGATTTGATGTTTTGTTACTTGAAAACAATTGATTTGCAAGGGTTTTTGTGGCCATACTGTAACTAGATTCTAGATCTATACGTGTGTTCTACAGCAACAATTGACAATTGTTTTGGCAATTTAGTTTATTTAGCCCTCAAATCAATGCATCTAAAAATCTATGTGTGCGTGCATAAATTTACCCAATCATCTTCAAATCATTTAAAATTAACCTTCAATAATGCTGATGTTCTCAAAAATGTCGACTTCGGCACTGAGGTTTGTCGAAGAACTGATGTGCAAAATGTGCAAATCTTTAGTTTCGATATCAAAGGGCGTAGGGCAGACATGTTGTTGGCCGAACATTGAACAAACTACCAACTATGCCAGATTTTCTTGCGGAGCAGTGCTAAACAGTATGAGGAAACTCACCATGTCAGATGTCACCATTGTGGTTTTCGGCGAGAGTGTTGAGATAATTTTCACCGATGGGCTAAACCAGTAGGCCTACCTGAAATAATTTATTTATTACCATATTATACATGTAACTGTTAATTATATTGTTTGCTTAGTTAGAATTTTGCGGCGCTCGCAATTTCATAAGGTCACAATATTGCGCACAAATTGTATAGGCCTAAGCAAACAATTTTACTTCCGTAGGCCTATTCTTTAAAACTCTTTTTCATAAAACAAAACCAATATTTGATTTTAAATTGAATTGAACGATCCTTTACATAAATGGTATCTTTCCAAAGGACCTTAATAAGAACATTTATATAACCGATCCTTAATCTGCCAGAATAATAAATTGTACACAAATACAGGAATTTTTAACCACCTACGCTGTGTGTATAGTGTCAGAGAGTATTTAATTAGTGTCTCTGATAGTGTGTAGGCTTATTAAAAATGATAATCTTTGTCGCCACATTAAAAAAAGAGATAAAAAATAAAATGCTTTCCCCTGCCCGTCAATCTCCTATTAAGGTTTAGTGAGTTGATAGGCTTTGACTGAACCTACTGCGATCGGAATTAAATGATTGTAAAATGTCCCTTTATTAAAGTCCATTTCTGATTTATATCTTTCCAATGTCTTAAAACTACAGCTGCTGTTTCCAGAAAACAAATATTGACAAACACATACCATTGTCGGTAGCCTCAAATATGCATAACGTCCTGGTGAATTCTAAGATAGAATATGTGAAGGTACACGAATCTGTTTTTCACAACAACAACAAATGAGTTTTTGAGAAAATCCCCTGCTTTAGTCAACCTCAGTACCGTTCCTTAATATGTTCCCGGCAGGGCCTCTATACGCGTTTGTCAGCCAACCATGACACCCCCGCTTCTCTCTCTCTCTTTCTCTCTCTCTCTCTCTCTCTCTCTCTCTCT